CGCGCGCGCGTGCGTGCGTGCGTGTGCGTGCGTGCGTGCGCATCTGTTTTTGTCTGTGTGTGTGTGTGTGTTTGTTTGTTTGTTTGCTTGCTTGTTTGTGTTTGTTTGTTTGTTTGATTGATTGATTGTTTGATTGTTTGATTGTTTGATTGTTTGTTCGTTCGTTTGTTCGTTTGTTTGTTTGCTTGCTGGTGTGTTTGTGTGTTTGTTTGTTTGTTTGCTTGTTTGTTCGTTTGTTTGTTTGTTTGCTTGTTCGTTTGCTTGTTTGTTTGTTTGTTTGTGTGCGGGCGTGTGAAAGTTTTTGTGCTTGCTTGCTTGCTTGCTGGCTTGCTGGCTGGCTGGCTGGCTGGCTGGCTTGCTGGCTTGCTGGCTGACTGGTCCGCTGGCTCGCCTGCGTACTTTCTGTATCGCTGTCAGTACATATGTCAGTTGGTGCCCTCAATGATGCACATGTAAGTCCCTACAGGTAAACCAGCTCTGGCAACTTCTGCTAGCGGATGCTGTCTTCGACACGTACCGCTGCTGCACGAACCTTGCTCGGGCGCAAATAAGCGAAGAGGCAAGCCACGGCGGGAATGACGATGCACAGTCAATCAAGCCGTGGATCCTGTTTCGCATGAGTCTAGGCAAGAGTCTCACAGTTCGAAAGGCACCGAAGAGGAGACCTCAGAGTCTGAGAACTATCCCAACACAGGCACCGAGTCGTTGCAGCTCTGCGGCGCCGTGGTCGGCCTGGCCAAGCGACATCGGCCTAGTCACGGCAACTCTCAGTTCCTTTGCAAACCCAACCGAGGCCCGTGAAAGCAGTCCCGGCAGCCCTGCCGCCTGGCCCTGAAATAGAGTTGAGTGGGTAAGACTTTTAAGGAGCCCTAGCATCCCACAAGTCCCACTCTCCGCTCTACTCAATTTGGCTGTGAACGGCATATCTACGCATTGGGCATCTGCATGTAGCACAGTACCGCACAGCAGTTGTTAGTTGTTAGTTTGTCCGAAACTACTGTACATCGAGTGTGTACATCTGTCAAACTGCAAGCCCGGAACTGACACGAGACGAAATAGGCTTTAACGGAGCTAAGACGCGATTGAAGCGGCTCATGATCTCTGACAGGCTGAGGTTGATGGGAAGACGACGAAGATCCAAGAAACCTGAGCCCACGCTCTTAGTGAACCGACCATCAACTTCCCCAGTCAGCTCTCTCCATCGCCAAGACACTGGAAAGCTTCAACAAACGGTCCTCGGAGCTCCCTGCCAACAAGCGCATCATCAAGCGATCGCACTCGTTCTGCGGTTGTCATCGAAGTTTATCGGGTGTTGAACCCTTACTAAGTCAAGGAGGTGTCGTGAGTGAACAAGTTTCCAACTCGAGAGTTGGATGTTTCAGACCCGAAACACTGAAAGAAACGATAGGTGATGCGATCAACGGCTGGTGAAGTGTAAACAGCCATGGATAGATTGTGAGGGCCGCTTTCGGCAACAGTGATCCACGTGTCCGTTGCCATTCCCGCAGGCGCTTCCGTTTCGGTTTCCGTCTGTCTGGGTTTATCGGCCTGGGCCGGCCTGTTCCGAAACGGAACCTGGAACCTGAAATAGAATTTCGAAACGGAAAGCCCGGCACCCCAAAATCCAGAACGGAAGCAGAAACGAAAAAAAACTGCATGCACCGGAAACGGTAAAATCGAAAACACAGTGTGGCTTCGATTTCCGTGTGCGATGGGTGCCCGTTCCATGGCTTTTACAAACCTGCACAGAAACGTAAGACTCTACGATACCAGGCAACACGGAATGCCCTATTCTGCCCTATGGAGGTGAGATAGGGGAAGCAAGAAAGAGAACGAGACAGAGAGAGAGAGAGAGAGCGAGAAACAAAGACATAAAAAGCAGAGAAAAACAAAAAAAGACAGTATGAGAAAGACAAGGCACACCAAATGCCTAAATCTCATAGCAGCAAGCACTGGGCAGCAATCATAGAACACTGGTTGCAGGCGGCCTCGATCCGTGGGTCGTGTTGGCGAGATCGGAGGTATCTCTCGTTCGCACGAGCCTTACTGGTAGCGTCCGTTAAGTCCATGCGAAAAGCAGAACTCGGCAACCTTTGAGACCATCGGCCGGCCCTCCTGGAGCCGCTCGGCGCTAGGAGCCTGCAAATCCCGCTGCGGCTCACAGGCTCACACTGTGCTGACATATCCCCACAACAGGCAACACTTGCTTAAGCGTGGCTTCAGCTTGAGATATCTTGAGCTCACGAGATAGGCATCCACACCAAGCAACTCGGCTCACCTTTGATTGTGTGGACCACAGTGTCCCCGAAGAGCGTTTCTTGCTTGTGTGTAGTGCCCCCAACATACACAATCGTCCACGTAGTTGCTACTCCCATGGCAGGAACACAAATCTCCATCCGTTTTGACCGGTGTACATTGTTATCTTGCATCTCTGCAAGAGTCTACAAGAGGTGGACTTTCGCTTCCCCTGTCGTCACAGGCTTTTGGTGGTGAAATGGCATTGATTTGCAGGCACTGGGACGCCGAAGACAGTTTTGCTCACAACCAGCGCTGGTCCAAAGCCTGAGTTGATTGAGACGGAGAATGGAAGTCTGAAACTCCAACTCCAACCCCTGAAAATCGGCCAGTTCAGTCCTGCACTGCCGCCGAATGCTGTGATGAAGCCGGCCTCGTCCAGAAACGAGCAGCAAGCCTGTTTCCGGAGAAAGCTTCACAGCAGCCGAGTGGCGGCGTTCTCGCCGGAGACGCTTGCATGGTTCTCGGATGGCGGAATGCCTCCTTGCAAGCACAGGGCAGGGTCACCATACAGTATCAAGCTACATCCACACAGTCTACAGCAGACTTAGTCTACAGCAGACTTCCGTCCGACCAGTTCTCTCCTCTCCGATGCTGCCCGCCTGGGTTCTACGGGTAGCTTCGTAGGATTGCCGCAGTTCCTGGATGTTGCAGACCGCGGGCTGCGCTCTCTCGGAGAGGTTTCGCTGCGGTTTATGCAGATGATGCTGCAGGAAAACTCGATAATCCGATGTGCGTAGCCCACCAAGGTCCGTTTGAGGGATATCTTCGTGCAAGCTGTTTGAGGTACTTCAAAAGGTCGCGCCCACAAGCTTTGCAATAGCCCTCGGTCTCGACGCTGACAGGGCGCAGGCTTCAACGTCTTTTTTGGAATCACACTGCTCGTCAAGTTTAATGGGAATTGACGACGGTGCCAATCTCGGTTTAGGGAGAAGCTGCTCAAACTTCGTGTTACCCGTGTTTGCTTCTGTGATCTTCCTTGCAATTTGGGCATGTTCCACGTTGTCCTGCAACCACTGCACCCACCCAACTCCTACAGTTCTGACCTGTGTTTGGTTAGCGCGAGCGCGTCGGCTAGGTCTCCGCAAGCTAGGGTGACTCGCATCCCCTTAGCAGGGCTATTTATGCCTGCGCATGTCATCTGCTCTAAGTTGCTGAAGACCTGTAACTTCCATATACCCGATGACACATCTGACACTGGCATCTACTTCGTTGTTCAGGTCGTTGTCTGTGTTTTTTATGCGCATAAAAACACTTCAGAAGACTGGTCGATGTTTAAGTTTAGGCCTGCACAGATGCAGCAACTGGTAACTTGTAGCATACCCGGAAGAGGGCACGGAGCACAAACCCTGGCGAATTTTTAAGTTTCGGAAGTAGGTGCCAATTTGCTTGAGTTTTTGCTTCCAGTGGCACACTGTGACGGTTGCCGCCAGCGAATTCCCATGGCTCCAAATAAAGAATGGCGCTTTTGCAGTGAGTGGAGCTTGAGGGCAAATCTAAGTGACCGTCGAGTCGAATGGAATTTCAATCGTCTTTATGCACATCCGCACATCTGACAAGGCCATGTACTATGCGGCCTCGTAGAGCTCTGCAATGCGATCCGACGGAAGCTGAGAAACCTGCAGGGTCTTGGCTTCGAGACTGGAGGAGTGGTCGAAGGTGCGCCTGCCACGCTCCAGAACCCTTCTTCTTGTTCCGGGGCTGTGTGCTACGCCTGGCAAGAAGCACACGGCAACCAGCAACGAGTGTGCCCGGTGTGAACTGAGCGCCCTGCGCATGACAAAAGTCACAAAGCCAAGCTTTCCTGCACGTCCTTAGTGTGTCGAGTCCTGCCGCAGTATACTGCCAGAGTGGCTGAGGCCACAGCCTATTGCTGCTGTTAAACGAGCAAACCTGCGAGACAAGGAGGCAAAATTTGCACAAATCTACCTTCTCCATGCTTCCAGTGGCTTCGGGATCGGCAATCATTGATTGTGCTATCACGGGGTTGAGTTGGATGAACTGCCAGTTGTCGCAAAGACTCATCAAAAGGCGCGGTGGTGCAAAAACAGCTCTGCATGCTCCAAACTGGACTCGGATTGGCACACATCAGGAAAGCGAACCGAGAGCCTGAGGAGCTGACACTGCAAAGGATCGTACAAGCCCGGCCGAGGTGGAGGGCCGTGCCGAATGACAGGGTGTTTTGGCCACCCCTGGGTCTTCCGAGGCCGAGACTGTCCTTCGGCCCGAGTCTTCTGAGGCACCGACGAGATCCCTCGCATAATCCTAAGATGAGTGGCCGATGTTTACGTGGTCTGATGCAGCACTCCAAGTCCGAGTTCGAACCATCAACTCCAAGAAAGGTGAGTCGGCATGAGTTGGAGTCGTATGTCTGAAGGGGAGGTTGACCCCGCACTTGACTTAGTTGATACAATAGTTGTAGGTGCGACCGAGGATCATGCAATCACTGAGGGCAACGCATTCTCTTGAACTGATCGGTCCTTCAGCTACACCCCAACATCTCCGCGTGCCAGCCAACGAAAGGGCTATGCATGTGAACATGGTCACCCCGTGAACTTTACTTGCGAGGGTCTAGCCGTCTAGCAGTTGAGATCTGTTGTAACTTCCTCTTCCAACTTCTCAAAGCGACACTGGCTTGCCAGATTGGAAGCATCCGCGGCGCAAAGAGGTTGTGGTCCTTGCGCACAGCGTTCTTGAAATTTGTCCGTGGCGTGGGTAGTCTGGCCTGCGAGCACCATACGGCGCAATGTAGCATGTAGCAAGCACTGGAACACTTCCTCCCTTGACTGTGGATGCACTTAAGCAAATATCCCTCTCCGCACAGGCACCTCTTTGGGCGTAGTCACGGAATCTGAACTTCAAGGCGTCTCTGGCGGTCTGAGACAGGCTTCCGGCACACGCAGGAATACGCAGGACGAGTGACACTGGACTGGCCTCCGAAGCATTCGGGCCGACAAGAATCTCCACGGCCTTCGGAGTTGTCCCCCACGTCTCTCCGTCTCTCTCCCATCCTGTCCCACTTCTTGGTGTCCTTTTGTATCCAGCGGCCGGCCTCGAGCTCGAGCTCGCTTCCCTTTGCACGGAAACAGAAATGCGGGGCGGGAGTCGCAATCTGTTTCCCTGAGGAGCAGACGCTCAAACCATCGCTGTCCTCTTCCCTGAAACGCAAAGACTCATCTGAAACGGGCTTGGGCTTCTTCGCTCGTGCAGCGTCAAAACGACAACTAACATGTACGCCGAGGACAGTGGGAATGGTTTTGCTGCAAGGCCACCCATCAGCATTGCTCACTACTCTCTGCCTGACGCGGCAATGAAGACTGCTTCGCTGACGACGGCGGCGTGGCATGCCTAGCGTTCCAAGGCGCAAGTGGACCGTTGCGTCAGCATGAGCCTAGTTGCATCGCTTTTGCATGACACGATCATGCCTTCTGTCCGAGGAAGACAGAGTCGTCGGCCAGCGTCATAAACTACACTCCTCTCGGCTCTGCTGAATCAAGGATGTATGCTGAACTCTCGCGTCGAGCACAAACTCTCCACCGCCCTGCGGTCCTGGTCCCTTCCTGGATCTCGCAATGCGCATTGCATGAGACGGGATGGCGTGTTTAACTACGAATCCGAGTAGCAAGACTGATTCTGTGTTTGCAAACACAGCTAGCTGCTGGCCAAATGGGGTGCTCAACTCCTTCGAAAGTTGACAAAACGTGCTGAGCAGAAACACATAGAAACACTGTAACACAGAGAAAAACATGCTGCTTCATCCTGTTGCTGTGACAGGTGGACGAGCAGCAACGGAGGGCCCGGACTGCCATCGACTCGGGCAGCATCCTCCTCGGAAAATCGCCAAGTAGAACGCAACAGTGTTCATCTAAATCCAATGACCATGTGTGGAACAGCCGTGCAACTTCCACGACTCTTGAGCTTCGGCACTCCACCACCTCCATCCCAGTCTGAAAGGAGCCGCCGCCCCTCAAGCCGAAGCCTTGGAAGAGTTTCAATTAAACCCTGCAGCCCCGCTGCAAAAGCATCACGGGCAAAAGACCCGCGGTCCGCACCCCACGTGTAGACGCGCAGCTGCTTCAGGGGGCCCAGCTGCCCTCGAGCCCCAGCGAAGCGCAAGCGCAGGTCTTTATGAAGGACTGGGGCCGCCACTGACGAGGAGGTAAGCCGCAAGGTCATCAGGAACCGACATCGCGCCGGCAAACTGAACGATCATGATGCCTCCCAGGCATGGGAGACAGCTGCCTGGGACCTCGGGTTCTATCCACCTCTGGCAGCAAGCCTTTCTCCTTCGCGGCTTGGTGATACTTCTGGATGACGAAATGGGAGAAATTGACCTTTCTGGAAATGGTCCGGTGACTATCGAAGGCACGACAGGCATGTCCCAAAATAAGCCTCTCCGGTGATGTCGATATAGTGTGTGCCTTTTTCCACCTGTCGGCAGGGCATCCCACAAAGTCGAAACTTGGCCTGTCTGGACGGAGGATTTTGTGGAATCTGCAAGCTTTGCAGCTTAAAGCAAGGGCAGGTGCGGAATGAAGGAGGCTTTCGGCTGGAATGGGATGATCTGTCGGTATCCCAATCTGGAACGCAAACACGTGCCCTTCGCATGGGAAGCCCTGAAAAACGAAGCTGCCGGTGGTTTCCTTGCAACTCTCAGGTAGGGGCATGGTCCAGCTCACGATGCGGTAAATGAGAACGCTTCGAACACCCTGTCGGAAGTTGTGTCGAAGAACACGAGACAAGTAATGAACAACATCCTCTGCATGGAGGTTGTGGCTGCAGAAGCACTCGTGAGAAACTACAGCTATCTAATACAATGTTGCAAAGAGCCGTGTTTTGATGTAGTTGGGTAGGTCTGAGGCAGCCGCACACGCCCGAAGCACTTGCTCTCCACATGCCAGGTAGGGACCTGGCAATGTGTGACGAGTGTGACGAGATGTCGCACCCTTCGTGCCGGAAGCTGGGCCTGCCAATGCCAAGACGACCACGGCTTCCTGCAGCTTTGAGATCGCAGGAGCATTAGCAGAGACAGGACATGTCAGGGCGTGCCCGTGCTACAAGTATGCCCTTTCGCCCCTAGGCTCCTCGACCATCTCCTCAATCTCAGCTCTGGTGTTTGCAACAATGACCTGCAAGGGCAGAGTCTCCGAATACTTGTCGGCTTGTCCCGCTCATTCGCCTTGGGACGGGTTTGACATCGCGCTGCCATCTTTTGCAGCTTCTCCTCGCTCCTCACAGGACCGATCTTCCCGAGACCATCAGACATCAGAACTGCAGCGGTGCCTGCCAGCAATGGCCCATCGGTGCGACGCTGCGCTTGGCAATGACAGCAGAGCATCCAGGTGCTCCACTGCCAGGCAGCCACTGTAGCCTGCCACATGCAAGACGAAGACGAGGAGTTCGAGCAAGTTACAGATAAATGCTGAATCTATGAAGCCTGTGGCTCCGTAGATGACCAAATCGTACGGTCGCTTCTCAGGTTCAACCTGTCATGATCACATTCCGCATTGGGAGTCAATTCCATGGCTCATCAGCCGGGGCTGGCCATCGATCGCCTTGTCCTACTTTCCAAAACGCTAGTGATGCGCCCGGGATGGCGCAGTTTCTTCCAGCCGGTTTAGCTTTCCAAGCTTTCATCTTTCAACTGCCGGGTTGTTTGAGGTGCAGAGATGGGAAGAGGGCTGAGACGGGTTGAGAAGTTCAGTGAATTCAGCGCGTCGGGGTGGGCGGTCGTATGTATGGCTCATGGGCTACTGCCATGGCTTGCCTGTCGATTCCGCCTCCCTCGCACTCAACGGAACGTTTCACGCAGACGTCCCTTGAGTTGTGCTATACCGTTCTCGGTGTGCAGCTGGCCGAGACGCATCAAGCCAACGGCTGATGATGGATCTCGGACATGTGACGACAGGCCACGGCACGACGAAGCCACGAGCCGCAGCCAAGCAGCCAAGCTCATGCCAAGCTCTACCGAGCCGGGCCTCATCCAGCTCATCGAAGTCTATCATGAGCAGTGACAGCAAAGCTGACCTCTTGAGGCTGGCTAAGTTAAAGAGTCTAGCGCTGGATAGTTTCGGGAGCTGCCAAGGTGTGCCGGTCACATCTTCGAAGCCATTCATGCAGCTGCAGAGACAGCTTCCCTTCACACTGTCGTGAGATGTCGTGAGTCTTGACAGACAACTCAACTTGAGTATCCCGCGCCACAGACACCCCGACTTGTGTTTGGCAGCACTCCGTCATTGCAGAAACCGTGCCACTGAGCACTCTTCTCATTGGAAGACCACTGCACTCATGCAGCTCAGATATAAAGTTGCAACATTCACCACTTTGGCCCGGCTTGAATTTGACGATGGACTTGAGCGCATGAGTATATCCGATGCATCATCAGCTGCACTTCGGAACTATATAAGAATTCGAGGGGTGCATAGGCCAATTACCGGCACACCACGACTGGAAAAAGGCCCTCCGAGAGCATGAATTATCATGCTCTCGAAGCCCTGAGTTACGGGCTCGAAACTGCATTCAGGTTCGGTCGGCAGCCCGAAGAATCACACGACCCGGTCAAGCGAGATGCCAGAACACGGGCCATGATTCAAAAAGACAATGAATTCACAGTGGCTCAAGGGATCGTCTCTGGGTTGTCATCCATGAGCGGTCCGTCGTTAACTAAGCACAAATCCTGGGATTGCGGCAGAAATCCGAAGCATGGCAGGAGACGGCAAGGCCAAAGCAGTAGCCATCTGGCGTCAAGGCACGTGATTCGCCTCACGCTTGTGCAGTTCCCTGGCTGCCTGTGGCGTTCGGAAGTACAAGTGGTGCAGACATCTCCAGATGTCTCCAGCCTCTCCCAAAAACTGGCCGCCTTGCAGCACCGCGCGCGAGAGCCCCTGGCCTCAAGCTCGCAGCTCCCTCATGAGGCCTCTCTTAAACTTTCCTGAAACTGACGTCGTGAGGATCGGGCTCGCGGAGGAACCCACGCTGCGGTTCCACAGGCGATTGATCATCCTACGGATCGCGAGATGAGGCACAGAGTCGGCAGAGAGTCCATAGAGCACCACTGGTCACGATGTTCACACCGTGCTCACACCATTCACCCACCCTTCGGCCAACTTGAGACAGGTCACGGCACACCCTCGGCAGGAACACCGTCGTGAGACTCGCGAGGACCTGCTTTGGTTCCCAAGCTGCACAGCCCAGCAGAGCAAAGGTGAAATCCTGTAATTGGCCGGGGCCGGGCCTGGAGCTAGTCTCTTCAGGAACAGTGGGATCCCGTCTATACGAAAAACGTTGGAATGTTTGGGTCTTTCCGGATATCAAATGTTGGTGCAAGGATGTGCAAGGTGTCTTTTGCGATTCTCAAACCGTTGGAATGTCCGCCGGTGATGTGCGTTGTCGTCGGGTTCTGGTAAAATGTTGCGCACCCTGTTCTCTGGGATTGCAAAATGGCCTCCGCGATTTCGGTCGCTTCTAAAAATTGCTAAACGTCTAGCAGCAAATCTGGCCACTCCCCATCTCCATGGTCCATCCTTGTTGTAGGCTTTTCCCCAGACAATGACTGAAGCTTAGCTGGCCCTCCACATTCTATCTTGTTTCGACATGTGTTCAAATTTAAATTGCGTTTGAAGCTTGATCTACATGGATTGCACAAGCCAGGCAAAGGCTGCAGGCAAGATGCCCTCTTGAGGATCCTCCCCATGAATCAGCGAGCCTAGGCAGCATGCCGAGTAAGCCCAGGGCCAGCGGCCGGCTATCTTCCGAAAGGGCGCGCAGCGTTCGGTGTGTTCAGCGGCTTCTGAGGCAATACGGCATGAGAAGCCATCACTGCTCGCGATATCAACCCTCGCGTCAGGGCCCCTGAAGAACTCAACCCTGACAGGAGCAAACCATGCTAGAAAGCATTTCAGCTGCCACGCAACGCCAGCGCTCTGGAAGTGGGCCCACCACTTTTTGCAAGAGCATGCTGCGTAGAGCCTGAGAGGCTGAAGAGCAATGGAAAAGCCACAAACGTCTGCGAATTTCTGCGATCTGAGGAGCATCACTTTGGAGCCTTCGAGGCGATGGGCTCGGGCCCGGGGTGAGGAAGCAGGTCCTCAGACACGACCCTGCTCGCCGACCCTGCTCGCCGGGAACCAAGAGCAGACCAGTCACAGGTACTCGAAGCACGATTGAGCTCCGTTGACCTGGGCTGTCTGGGGTGTCTCTCTTGATTCGGCATCGCTCCTAGGGTGGTTTGCAGCCCAGACGCCAATGCGGCGAACTCTAGCGGCGCAGTAGGCAACGGAAACCAAGTTGTCCTCAGTGACAGGAATGTGCCAAGTACCCATATGTGCGGACCGAGTTACACGAACTGATGTGCAACCGGGTAACAAGCTCGGCCTTAATGCCTCAAACTCGTTGACGCAAGGCTCGATTCCTGCATGGAACTTGGGCACTGCATGTGAAAGCAAGGCAACGAAACAAACAAGTCTAGTGATTAACTCGTACAGTACTACTTGAAGTTGCCTTAAACAAACCTGGAAAGGTTCGACTTTCACTCTTTGCTGCGTGTGTGTAAACTGCATGACCCGGCCACGATGAGGATCCTTCCGGGCCTAGAACCCTCCCCATGTCAACCGTTGCAACAATTGAAATCGGTCCCATTTTGTCAAATATTCAACCGGTGGGACACCTTTATGCATGATGTCACGCCTGGACATGCTTGAGGAGACGGAGGCACCGGGCAAGATGGAGTCACTGGTCCTCGCAGAGGGGGCAAATTGCAAGTTTGTTGTGCTTCTCCACTTCTCCGTGCCTGCAACGCTCGCACCGGCCGGACAATTCGAGAAGAATTGGGTAAATTCCAAGAAGCATTGAAGCGACAGGTCCGGGCCTGCCGCTGCATTGCAACAACATCAAGCTTTGAACATTGATCCCAGAGAGAACTGAGCCACAGGCAAGATTCCTGAACAATGCTTGTGGCTTCCTGGCATTTTCGGCGACGAGCTTCAAATCACCTAATACCCGCACCATTCTGCACTTGGGAACTTGCTGAACAGAATGTGTGAGAAGGGGACCTTCTTCGAGTAAGATTTTACATGCTTGAACTTCAGATTCCGGCTGCATGTCTCTGTCTCGTTCCACTGGAAACTCAATAGTTTGCGGAGTGTAGTTGGCAAAAAGTGATTCCATGCACTGTTCATGCAATTAGAGAATCGGACGGAGTGATCCGTGCATTCGAAACCCAGTCCATGTGAGAAACCATGGGTGGATTCATAGGTCAGCGGCCTTGTCTAAACAACCATAGAATGTTCGCCTGTAGTTGCCAACTTTGAGTCGGGGATTGGGGTGCGTGCTAATGGGGGTAATTAGAACTGAAATATCCCCACGGATCTTTCCCAGCGCGACCCCGCAACCCCCGGCACGTGTTTTCCTCGCACGTGGCTTTTCGAAAAGTGCGCACCTCTGCAAGGAAGTCTGCCACGAACTTGTTAGACAGCGCTTCGGTTTCGTCGAGCCTCCTTGGTAGCAACTGCGACAGTCCAATCATTTCAGCTCGTAGGCAGGCAGCAATGACACACTCCAGATTTCAGCCTAGATGCTGCCCCTCCGTACATGCAACATATGCTGCCATGCCAGCCCCTGCGATGCCAGACAATGCCCCAGTGGCTCCTGGTAATGCCCAGAATCACCGAGTACACTAAGTGACATGCTGGACATACTTCACGTTCTGTCATGCAGATCAACGCACCTGCGATCCCTGCACCGCAGATTGCCCGAATGTTGGCTTCGTTCGTGCAGTGAAACCTCGTATTGCCATCCACTTATATAATCCACTTGCCACCATCGGCTCATCTTGGCATCGTCGACGCGACCCTGCCAACTGCTCCGAGATGCGAGGTAAAGGATAGGAACACCGTGGCGAGTCCTGCAGCAGGTTCGCAGAACTCGGAGCTGGATTGCTCGAGAAGTTCCGCAAATCGGTTGGACTCACATGACTTTTATCTTCTCATCGGCCATGTCACATTGTTTGCCGAGGTTTGACTATGAGTACATTCGCTTGCCACAGTTCGCGAGCTGCTAGCAGGAACTTGAATATGAAGACCATCTTCTCATCTGAGGTCCCATAGAGTTGCCATAGAGAGAGCTCAGGCTTGGCAAAACGAAGAAAGTAGTGCCGGAATCCGTTTCAAAACTCGAAGCTGTCATCTGAGTTGAAACTTTATGTTCCAAGCGCATCGGACATTCTCTTGACACCTTCATCCTGAGAAAAATCTGAGCTTCAGGCCAAGTTGAGCAATTATTGTCGCAACACCGGTACCACAAGTCGCCTCACGGTTCGACATAGCATACAAAACAGCTGCTGGGCCGGGCTTTACTCACTCTAGAAGCATACTCATTTACACACTGGTTGGGCTGCTGTCAAAGCTGGTCATGTTCCACTCCAAGTTTTGAAGCAATTGGAGAGTGTACCCATGTTCAGGCGTCGTATAGACCGCCCCTGCGTGTACGTGTGGAAGTGCACTTCTCTCATCTTATTTCAACTCCAGGTACGTGGCTTCAGCTCCGGCAAGATGAACTTCCAAGTCTTGCAGTCTCCAAAGTGACGAACTCCACGAGAAGGCATGTTGCATTGAGTCTTGAGCTGGACTGCTTTGCAAAGCAGCATCCCGTGTGACATTGTGCCACGTCTGAGACACTGGCGCGTTGTCCGTTCTCGATTCGCTTGCGAAGAAATTTCGGCAGGGCTCTCGATGTCACTCCTCGGAAAACATACAGATGCCGTTGTCTCACCTCTCGGTTCTGGCTCTTGATGACTGCAGCAAGCTCAACAAGCTTGCTCTGAATCGCAGCCAGGTGCTTCCCACAGACGGGTTGTCACAAGCTGCCTTGGCGCACGACTTGAGCGTGCAAGACAGGATGCCAACTTGCCACATGAGACTCGGTAGGCCACAACTACGGATTGCCTGCACGCACTGATGAACTGCTGATTGATTGCCTGTTCGCGCCTGTGCAGCAAACCCAACAATTGTGGAACAAGTACAGTTGGTGTGCTCTGGCACGAACCAGAGAATGCGAATTCAGTGGGAAGCCTAGCATGGCTGGGAGTTTGGATACTACTGCAGATCCGGCAGCGACAAACCATAACGAAGTACCGAAGGAGCAGTGAAGGCCAAAGCAGCGCGCACCATGAAATCAATCGCTCAATAGCCCGGCAAAGGCAAGAACATCACACCCAAACCACAGCGACAGGTCTGTCTAATCACAGAAACAGCCGACAACTTAGCCACCAAGGGGCGTTCGCTAGCGAATCAATTCCAATGCCCATCAGCGACAGCTGCGTCAACGCCTGCATGACGTCGACCACGCACTGGGTCATGATTGCGCCCTTGCCTGGCGGAAACGGCTATGGGGTGTCGCTACACTCGTTGGCAGCCTCGGATACGCCAATTGTGCTAGCATTGAGTTACAAAAAAATCCTACTGTGAACCCCAGCCCTACAGAATTTGCAATGCATTCTGAGGGCGGAGAATTTGGGGTTCTATGCATGCATAAGTGTGCGCTGCTTCGCCTCCACCCAGAAAGAGTCTCCGCCCAAAAGTGGATGTCTCTGACAAGAAATCGGCCGGTGTCAGCTCATTCTGGAGGGCTTTGACGGCAGCTTTGACTTGGCCTGCAGGATTCTGCGGCAACTCCATCAACTCCACATTGCGTCCCTCTATGCTGCCGGTCTGCTTGGGTTGGTCAGCTTGCCACCGCCGAAGTCGGATATTCCTTTCCTGAGCTAATTGGTTGTGCATGTGCTGCAGAACACATTTTTACTCCAAGGGGCTGCCCTAGTCCTTTGAGAGCTCCGGTGATAGTCTTCTCCAAACCCTTCGCCACAATTTCACAGCCTGCGGCTGGCTGGGACACGTTTGGTCGGTTCAAGGAAGCTGGCACATCAGCTCTACATACACAGTGAGGCTAGCCACCTGGGATTGCGATCCTTGGTAGAACCGACGGTGAACAGAGACCAACTGCATATGCAGACGGGCATGAGAAATTTAAAGGCAGCTTGTCCTTTTCGTGAAACCTGTAGGCCTAGTGATCGGTGTTCCTGATCTAGAACTTCTGACGGCTGCCAAGACTCGAAAAGGCGGAAGACACCGAAACCAGTGCATTGGTCATTTGGTAAGCGGCCTTTCGGAATGGTACTACAGGAAGCAGGCCCCCCGATCCAGATACGCCCCAAGCCGGGCCAAGCCGCGCTCGCACAACCCGCATCGAACTGCTCGTTCAAGTTCAGAGAGCTCGAGGAGTTCACAGCAATGGAACAGCTAATGCTAGCTTCAGCCAGATTGCCAGCCTGTGCGATCAAACACTAACACGCGAACAACAAACAAAGATGCATGCGCACAGACAACGAAGCACCCGGTGCCGCTTAGTGCTCGGCAACTGCCAAGAAGCCCGAGATTACCAATTCGATGTTTACCTTGTGAAGCTTGAAGCTTTGCATGCCAAGTGTGCCCTGAATCACAGGCAAGCGGCTGAGCAAACGATCTTGCGAAGCTTTACCAAGGCTTTTCCAAACTTCCCTGGGATGTACTTGAAGATCCGATCCTCAGCTTCCCCGAGACTACGACGAACTGCGACACAGCCGTCGTGCCGTCCTCTAGTGAAACGACCGCTGAGACGCTTGGCTGCTGCTTGGCTGGCAAGAGGCAGGACCACAAACTGCGCTTGCCGCTTTGATGTTGGTTGCGATCTGCAAACCATTCAGGCTCGTTCATGCACAGAACATCCCAGAACCTACTGCAAACTCGAGCCGGTGGCATTCTTTGCGCAACATTGGTACCTTGGCGATGCTCTCCCCCACCGCGAGGGTCTGCAGAATACAGCGTGCGCGATTGCGTTTCTGCACCTTCTTCGGGCTGACCTGCCACGGGGCCAGCCAAAAAACGGTTCTGTCAGTCGCCGTTGCACATGCTCTGCATGGGCTTTGACCCAAACATCTACCAAAACACAACACGTTTTGAAGACTTGGCAGGTGACCCGAGGTGCAGCTTCCTCGGCTATCGAGCTTCAGTCGCAGAACACGCAGACACGCAGACACACACACACACACACACCCACCCACACACACACACACACACGCATTCCTTCTCACTCTCAAAACCTAGCATCCTCTCCTTTTCACTCTCTGGAAACCCAAGATGCAAGCAAGCAACAGCCGCCAGCTCTTTGGTCAGCGCGGTGGTATTTGTAGCCACATCATTGGCTGTCTGTCCGGCTTGCAACACGATCCACGCAGCTTGGGCTGGAGTGATAACCTCGGGGGAGTACAGGACGATAGGTTTCGATGGGCAATGTCCCTTAAATCCTTCGGTGCATGAGGGACCCCAAGTTGCCGCTCAAGCGGACCCGCTTTCTTGCCAGTCCAAGCCAGTGGCCTCAAGGTCAAGCGAACGACGAGTCAGTCATTCTGGGATAAGATGGCGGCTTTAAACAAACACTTTTTGGCTCGGCTTCGTTTGACACCAGGAATCCGTTTCCGTCGGACGTCTCCGCCGAGGGGCGGTTCCTCCCGAGCCGAGTCGTCTATACCTTTGAGGCAAACTGTCAGCGATGCTACGCATGCATCTGCAACAAATTGTCTGTCTGTCTGTCTGTCTGTCTGTCTGTCTGTCTGTCTGTCTGTCTGTCTCTATAGGATGCTTTCCTACGACCAGACAACGAACGGGGCCCTTTCAGAGCAAGTCCGAGACCCTCAACCTAAAACCCCTCTCTGACTCTGGGTCTGTCTATCCGTCCGTCCGTCTGTCCGTCTGTCTGTCTGCCTTTCGGACACAGCCAGAGCAGATTCAGGCAGGCCACATTGACTTGCACCCAGAGTGGGCTGGTCGGGTATGGGCAGAACCCAAACGGCTACTCCAATGCAAGTCAGCACCAGTCCAGCGAGAGCCTAAGCCGGCCAAAGGAACTTCGAGCATCTCTCAACAACACCAATCCGTCCAAGTGGCCAGTCCCACGCCGACACGAAGGCGAAGGCGCCTCTGAGACACTCCCTGGGAGCACGGCGTGTCCACGTGATCCTTCTGCTTTCGCACGGTTCCCCTGCTTCTGTCGCCCCGCATAGGGATTAGTCTTTGGCCTTTGGCTCTTGTTTTGTTTGGGCATTCTGGAAGGAAGGAGGGAGGGAGGAAGGGAGGGAAGGAAGGGAGGAAAAACGCTCTCTACTCCCCTTGGCATGCCCCGAAAGTCCTGGTCCAACGAGGGATCGGTCTCGGCAGGCTCCTGGCTCGGTCCACTCGTGCGACTCGGAGCACAGCAGATGTCACTGACCCACTCTCCTCGAGGGTGTCCAGAGCATCGTGCACATGCGATTCCATGTGCCTCATGCATTGTTCGGCAGCTGCCTCAGCACCAGCAGTCTTCTTCGAGATCCGACATGCACAGTGTGACACAACATAAGAAAGTGTCAAGGCACATCGGCTGCACCGTCAGACAGCTGTGTAATTTGTAATTGACTTGGAAAGATACTATGCTGCACTGGACAAGACGCTGAGGCCTTGCCTATGATTCCGGCTATAGGAGAAAATAGACTTGCAAACTCGTTTGGTACAAGCCAGGTGCTTCCTTCATTTTTATGACACTTTCAGGGCTACTCCCTGCTGGCGACAAGGCGGCAGGGCCGCAGACGGTGAATCGTCCCAGTGGCAACGGATGCCCAGCATGTGATGGCCGGATGCTCTTCTTATGCTCGCGGATTTGCTGCCCCTTTGGGGTTGCCGTAACCGTTCCTACTCTAGCCAACCAGCGCGGTCTCCGGACTGATCAGCTGATTAAAACTTAGCCTCTGTCACAGAGCAACAGCTGAAGCTGAAGCTGATGAAAAGGTCTTAGTGCCCAATGGCTTTTGTACACTTCTCTCCAGGCCGTCGCCCCAGGAGCCGATCCTCCGGCACAAACCAAGTGCAGAAAGGGGCTCTGCAAGGAGCTCAGGACTCAGGACGCGGCCAACTCACCCTTGCGACCCAACTCTTTTGCGATAGCTGCCAAATTGGTTAGGCAATGCCTCTGGCGAACTCTGAAGTTACACGTCTGCGCTGCGTGGCAAAAAAATGTGGCAAGGAACGGCCCGGACTCTGAGGCTGAGGGCAGAGTCGTGTCATGCGCTGGGCCAAGGGTCGACTCGCAGATTCTGTCAGGTGATCCCAACCAACGAGACGAGTCTCAGCTTCAAAAACCCACTGGAAGAGCGCAGCAAACGAGCTGAAGCAACAACATGTGAGTAAAAGCGCTGGCGAGACAGCAAAGCTCGCTTGTAGAACTCTTCAGCTTCGTCCCTGTTTCCATCCTTCGCAGCATCTTGGGCATCGGTTCATAAGCTCAACATGTGTGCTGCGAAACTGAACACCCTGTTAGGTCTTTCTATGTCTCTCTATTCTGCTTCTGCTCGACTCGAGGGTTGCAGACGTGGAACCCAGGTGTGCCCCTGAGCAGCAAGGTTTCCTGTTGAGCAGCAGGTCGCGGCTCAAAGCCGTCCCAACCCGAGCTGCTTCTTGCTTCAGTGTTCCGGCTTTGGAAGGATATTTTCGAGACTTGCAAAGCTCTTTCATGATCTCTCAATGTCAGGGGCTTGATCACTGGCGCTCTGCCACTTCTCGCAACACTCTGCGAGGTCGCCTTGTCACAGACTTTTGCTTGGGCTTCTCCGAGTCCGATCTGTTCTGCTCCAGGCCGCCAACCCGGCCACCTTCCATCGCTGCAGTCTGCGGCTCTGTCCTCTGAAGGCTTGAAGGCTTAACGAACTTAACGAACTCCATTCCCCAGCTTCTTGGGTTCATTGCCCCTCGTTCCGGGCTATCTCTGCGGGTCTCTTGCTGCCACTCTTGGATGTCGGCTGGATGGTGCTTTGCTTGCCCGCTGCATTGCGTCCAAAGCTTGTGACCGGCGTCCGTGCGCATCAGCTCTCAACTGCTCACAATCTCTGTCTGTCGCACAGCGTCTTCCCTACCTGCCACATAGAGTATGCCAGCGCAATCATGCACCTGGGCGACGGTGAGATGGGAGAGGGGTCGGGAAAGGCGAGACAGATCGGCAGCTAAGTACGGAGCGAGGCGGCCTCTGGATGCGAAGCACCGTAGCAAGCCTGGCACTCATGAATCTGTAAGGCTGTAAAGATCGTGGCGAATGAAGTCGTAGCCACTAACAGAAATTTGACATACAGGACAATCATGCGCCTGCTTTGCTTCAAGGGCTTTTCGATACCAAGCCTCTCTCATGGGTCTGGGGAAGATTTGCAGAGCGTTACAACATAAGGCAACTGAGGGTTTTATAGAATTCTTGGTGCCTGGGCTTCTTTACGTCGCCGCGCATCGCCAGCAACAACACTGGCCAGCCTGGACCGAATCAACAAGTTGGTCTTTTATGTTCTTGTCCCAGCAAAGCTCTTGAAGGCCGCGGCTCGGTGACGGACCGCGCCTCAGAGGTGCGAACATCCAGTGCAATTTGTGGTGTGGCGGGATCGCAAACAGACAAAGGACCCACTCTGATAGGCAATTCTCTCGATGTCAACACATGCACTTACATTCGCCGGGTTTATCTCACATCAGTCGGCGAGAGTGTGCACACTGTTCCAGAGAATTACACATCAGTGGCGAGAATACACATCAGTCTTGCTAAACCCCCGTGTGGATGCTGTTTGTAGTCTCCAGGTCGCGGAAGCTAAATTTTCAGTAGATTTCGCGCATGCTGGGGCCTTGGCACCGCATCTCCAAGTAGACGCTGCTTTTTCTTGGCGCGTGAATCGAAGGCCGGGTACGAGAAAGCACCCCGAGATCCGAATCCGAGTTTCGATCTCACATGTCGAGCGCTGATCTTTGGAGCTGCACCCCACCGTCTTACGGGCTACACCCGAGATGCCTGGGGGTTACACCACGCGTGAAATCCGCGGACGATGCTTGACCTTGGGCGGGTGTGGGTCTCCAGCGTCAAAGAGGGTCACCGAGAGCACTTTGTGACAACCAGGGGCTGCAAAACAAAAGCGGCAGCGCGAGCACCACAGCGTCAACGATTCTCTCCACGCAGCAGGCTCACCTACACTAGTTGTGCTTTTGTCTAACCCTGCACCCTCCGCCTGGAGTTGTAGGGGCTTCGCAAGCAAATAGAAGTGACTGTTTGAAGTGCGACTCCCAGTGTGGATGCTAATGATGCATATTTCAACCAAGCGATGAGAGATAAAGCTCCCTGCCCGATACCTTCGCAAACATCCTGCGAAGATGATCATTGAAGCCGGTGCTGGCAAACTTCTGGGGACCTGCAAACATCACCAGAATCCGAGCCCACAGAACCCGGCCATAGGATTGCCCTCACTTAAGGTGTACCAACAACCTTTGTCATTCATGTTTGCTGCTTCTGCTGCTGCCGCTGCAGGTGATGGTGGTGGTGGCGGTGGTGGTGGTGGTGGTGGGGTGGTGGTGGGGGCGGCGGCGGTGGTGGTGGTG